AATAAAGGGGATGATTATCCTAATCCTATAATGATTAGGATAACTACAACATATGGATAAATACAAGGGAGGATAATGACAAGTCTTGGCCGCCTGGTATGGATAAGGATAAGGTGCTTGTCGCCTGGTCTTGGACTGAAGTGAGACTGATGTGGTCTGGTCCATTTCCGGATATGTCCCAACCATCATTTCTCAACAAGATGCATAATGATTTTTTTCGTTCACATTAACAACAAATTAATTGAGGCATCAAAAAGAAACCCTAAATTCCTGAGAAAAAAAAGTTCTTATCGGAATCCCAAAACAAATCCTAAAATTTTAGAACAAAACAAAAAATCAAACCAATTCAAAATAGGGTTCAAAATACTAAACCTAATTAAACTCCAGCGTTGATGTTGTTCTTCTCTGCTACAATCTAATCTTCCAACTCTTTGAAACTTTTGTCTTCAACAACAAGCATCTTCTGAGTATCAAGTTGATTCTCCTTTTTATTGTTATTATCATCCAGTTTAGATATACTAACCTCTTTTTTCAGCTCCACGTTAATTACATCTTCATGGTTAACCGGAAGAGATGAATGAGTTTGATTAACCAAATACTTGGAAGCTCCAAATACTCGGTCTTCGCCATCAGCCTCAAGCTGTCCGAACATATCATCAACTTGAGACATCGTCATAGGAAGAGAACGGTTGCGTATGCCATGAAAATTTAATTCTTTCCATGAAATCTCACCATTATTGTACTGATCCATATTCTTGAAAACTTCTTTAAAATCTTTTACGCTAGACATCACTTGGTATCAATAATCCAACTCTCTTATAATTGATTTTGTATACAGGCTCTTGGCTCATTTGAAGGACGTGTATTTATACAGCTCCCTAACTTTTCCATATTTTAACGGAGAACGTTTATCCTTTTACAAAAAAGTAAATAAGTATGAACTGATAAATATCCTTTTTAAAATATGTCATTATCTTTTCATTTTGATCAAAAAATATGTCATTATCTAGAAACTGGAAAATGAATCTATACTATTAAAACAGAATCCCTATTAGGATTCTGTCCTTATTTTTTCAAGTTATTTACATTACTATGCCACAGACATTTAATTTTAATATCTTTATTATTTATTTAAGCTAAACCACAGAGTTTTCCCTACATTTTTGGTAACTAATATTATCCATAATTTGTAAATTATATTAATTCTAAATTTATGTAAATAATACCTTTAATTTAATTTGAATATTATTTTCTTGCTTAGTATTATTTAACAGTAAAATTATGTAAATAATACCTTTAATTTAATTTGAATATTATTTTTCTTGCTTAGTATTATTTAAAAATAATATAATTAAAATTATTATTTACCATGTTTTACATTTTGAATGTTCAAAAATATTATAAAATTTATTATAAAATTAAATTTTACATCAAAAATAAACAAAAATAAATTTCATAAGTTATTAAAAATGAAAAAGAAACTAATATTGTCATATCAATAAATTTTACCTTTTTATTACCATTATTTCTTTTTCAAATGACTTAATAAAAAAATTCATCAAAGTATAAGATATTACAAATTTTCAGCCTTATATAATATCAAAATGTATGAGTTATTTAATAAAAAAATCAATTTTTTTTTTGTTTTCAGCGAATCATCTGATATCGGATCACGGGTTAATAGTGGGTTTTTGATTTTTTAAGGTTTTATCTAATTTTTAACTAAAAAACATTATATTAAATCTGAACCGGATTAAACACAAGTCGCCGGATCTATCGGTTCAACCACAATTTGAGTCGGATATGAAAACATTTTCTGGAAATTAAATATAATAGAATAAATTGGAAACACTAATATATTAAACTTAAAAGTATTTATTTTATAAAATTTATAAAATCAATCAAATTTGATCAAAATAGTAAAATTATACCCGCGCTTTTAAAGCGCGGGTCAAAATCTAGTTAAACTCTTAAATCAACATTCATTATATGTTTACGATTACAAAGCTTAATTACGGATTTGTTTAATAGACATTTATAAACAAACGTCATTTAAGACCATTCACAAACAAAGACCCAACATCTCCAAGACCGGCTATAATAAGCCAACAATAACACCAATAGGAGGCAGTCCACCTCCTATGGCCTTCCCTGTGTTCACATCATACCTTGCAAACCTTTTCTTTGGTGCTATACATTGAGGACATGCATATGTTTCCGGCTGAAAAAAAACAACAACGAGAAAACACTCAAAACAATCAGTTATAAGAACTGAAAATAAAGAGGTGGATGTTTGGGACAAAAGTGAAGGATGCCACTTCATTTTAGTAAAAGAAAACTGACAGTGATAAACAACTCCACCGCCTTGCTTCTGTCCAAGAGTGAGACCCAAAGGCTTTGTCTACTTCAACTCTTCTTCGAATCTTCCAACCAAACTCCCTGAAACCCAGTTTTCTAAACCACAAACGAAAAAAGATTAGTATTTTCAGCTGAAGCTAAATTCAAGGAAGCTAAAAAGAAGAGAGAGAGAGAGATAGACCTGGGGAAAGGAAGAAGACGAGGAATGGAGTTTGGTAGATGGGTTAGAAGTTGAAGTGGTTTTGGTGAAAAGGAAGAGACCGTAGCTCCTGAAATCGCACCATAAGTTGCCATCCCAAACAAAGAAGTTGCATGCGTTTTGAGATGAAGCTAAAGAAGAGAGAAACCTTTAATTTATTTATTTATTTTTAGTCAAGATGTCAACGCCTCCACATGGATAACCTGTTCGTGGTAATCGCATCATTTTTGTGTGCTATGCAGTATGCACAGTCCACTCCTACGGCTTTACGACTGATAGTTAAGATACCAAATAAATTAAGAGATCCGCATAATTGTTTAGCTTGTCTTCCTTGAAATTCAAAAGCTAACTTTACAAATCTTCCTTTCTCCCACCAAGAACCTCATGCATTGTTGTAGCTCTCTTCAACATATCCAACCTTTGGGATCCTTCATCGCTTGAATAGAGATCCTAGAATTACCCTCAACTATGACCTCACCAATGTTGTCTAGACAAAACATGATTACTCCTAAAGAAGCACTTGCTTCTACATCAAGGCAAAATAACAAATTATCACCTAACCATTTTACAACACCTCGATCATAACACGGTGTTATCCGATATATCATGCCATGAACAACTCCTTTAAATAGAAGTATGCATTGTATTCAAACCACTCCTTCAAAATCCATCATAGCTTATTTTTTCTATAATCAGTTGAGCTGCTTCATTCGTTTGGAGTAGCAGAGATTGATCATTCTTTGAATTCCAAGTTTATGGGGAAGATTCGAAAGCTATCTTCCTATCTTCATTACTACATCATGTAAATACATTTTCAAATCTACTATTGTTTACTTTTTTTTTTATTAAAAAAGTGAAGATACACTTGAAGCTGACTCAAGCTCCTTATCATGAACAATATCCTTTATTTGATAAGATTGGGCCTAGTTCTTCTTAAAAAGCGTCCTTGTTCATGCTGTTCAGCATGGTGTCAAATGAAAAGTAAACGGTGACGTTTTTGATTGGTGGTGAATTTACTAATAATTAAATATTGAGACTTTCTAAAAAGAAATTTATTTGACGGAGCAACAAAGGGTATCGTATGATGTGCTCTTTTGTCTCCTTCCACACTTGTTTGTATATTATAAAAACAGACAAGTTGCAGGTGTTCATCATCAATACTCATCCAAACACAACTCTCTCTCTCTCTCAATCTTGGGGTACAGAAATAGAGTTGAATGGCAGCCAAATCCAAGAGTCTTCAGGTGATCGGGAAGCACGTGGTTAACAGCCTCCGTTCATGCGCTTTCGCACGCGCCGTCGCATCTGATCTCTCAGCTTCTCGGTACCTCCTCCGTTCCATCTTTCTTCTTTACATACTTTGTTACCCATTGATACTTTTGGAAGGAAGCAGAGCGTAGATAACGTACGATATTATATATATATATATATAGTTTTGACTAGACTATTGAGTTATCACATATATATTAATATGAACATATAAATCATATGAGATGTTATTTGTCCAGATCAAACTAAAACAAAACCTTGGTTTTAAAATAAAAACTAACTAAAAACGGTGTAACACATTCACAAAAGGAACTTAAGAAGACAAGAAGAAACTTGAGTAATAAATCAAATATCATAGATCCAACATCTGCCGACTACTATATAGTATATACTGTAGCTGCAAAACAATATATTATGCAAAAGATAAGATCAGTGAATAATTAATTAGTTTTAGTTTAAGGGAGATGGATTTCTTACATAGAAGCACATACACTGTAGTGGGAATTCAGAAATGGCATATCTAATTGGATAATATTATACCCAAAGGTAAAAAATATCTTCCATTCAGAATAAAACATGTGTCACTAGTGATTATTCCCTTCATACTGGAGAGGGTCAAGTAAGAAAGATAAATCTAAGAAAAATCCTTACGTTTTCTGCGTGAATTTATCAGCATTTAGAAAGAAGAAAAAGTCATATTAAAAAAATCGAATATATAGAAGTTCAATCGTTCTTTCACATAATCATTAATCTATTTATCATGTATCTACGACATCATTTTTTATAATACATCGTGCACAAGACTGGATCTTATATTGACAAATTAAATAATGAACCTTGGTCGACCATCATTTAATGGTATTTTACTCACCCATCTTTCTAATTAAGTTCTAACCAAAAGTATAGAAAAAGTGAAAGACAAATTTTCTTGTCACTTTTCGTGGCACTTATTAAAGGTATCTAATCTTTTTGGTGCAAGGGACCATGTATGTTTCAACGACTTGATGTTTATCAGTGAATACTATTTTGAAAATGAATCTTATATATTAAAATAGAAGTCACAACCTTGATTTATGTGTGATTTTTTTAAAAACGGACCCTCACTAGAAATCAGTTATTATTTACTTATTACTAATAACATGACTTAATAATATATCATAACTAATATAACCATCAACTCCTACAAAACAGGAATGGTAAACATCACCAATTTTTAATCCTTTTAAATGTAAAATCAATTTATAGATAACTAGGATGTAAACATTATCAAACCAGTTTGTGGACCAATACATTATCCTATTGTTATTATTTTGAACATGCAAGATAAACTAAATTTCGACTAACCGTTTAGACTAATTGTTATTATTCTGAATGTGCAATATAAACCAAATTTCGACTAACCCTTTAGACTAACGACGAACACTATACCAAATGGGTTTAATTAATCACGATATGTATGCTATGTTTATAAAACAAATTACATACATCAGATCTAAATTACAGACTAACTAATTGCACCGTAATATTTTATAGGCACAATGTATTATAGTGTTAAAAATTTGATGTTTTTAACCGTATACCAAAAAAGAATTATCTATTACCAATGTGATTTAGTTTTTAACAGTAGGTCCAATCTGATTTAAATTTTATATATATTTCAAATTTAGAAATAAAAATCTTTAAAATAGTATTGTTACATAATTATGTTTTCAAAACAAATTTTGTTACAAGAATACAAAATTTGATTTTTTTATAGTAATAATAATATCACAAATCACATAAACACAGGTATAATAGAATTAGATAATACATAATATTAAACTATATTAATTTATTGATAAATTTTGTTTTATAAACTAAAATGATTTAGTATAGAAAATAAAACCCGCACGGTTGTGCGGGTCGACATCTAGTGTACTTATTAATACACAAATAAACGATCATTAGTTAGTTGTTGGTGTAGAACTATGATTACATTTTTACTAGTAGTCTATTTCTTCAGGTTTTATCCTGCCGGTTGGCACAAAATGTTAGTAGGTTTAATTTGGATTTAACTATACATAGAGAAGAAGTTAAGAATCTGAATAGGATTGCAACATAATGAGAGCTAGGAACGACGTCGTTCAGATTATGGACATAGAGCTGATAATTATGAAACACTACATCGAATCATTTGTTAGTGAACAATCTATATATAAATGAACGAACAGCATGATTTTTTTGAGAAATGAAAACGAACTAACTACATGTTACTCGGTAGAGTTTTCAACAGTCATTTATTTTCGATAGTCGATACCAGACTTTTATATGTCTGTTTACAGTTTTAAAATAAAAGAATTAATTTTGGAACTGAAGAATACGTTAGGGTAGGTAAGTGATAAAGAGATGAATTGGTGGTGTGATCAAATTGCTTATCTTGTTATATATACACGTACGTGCGTGGTTGTATATTAATATCATAGTCAATGTCTCACCTAACGAATAACGGAACCTACATTCACACTTTCATCTAAAACACTTGAATCCAAAGGAAGACACCAATAATACCACTAAATCAAGATTTGTTTCCTCTTACTCTTAGTGTATTGCTTAACAGGAATGGTCACACATCAGCGTATGATAAGAACGTAGAGGAAGAATTGCAATCGAGTAAGGTGCCTGATGAATTGATAAAGCCTGAGGTTGACTCTGACAAATATTGGTCTCCTCACCCTCAGACCGGTGTCTTTGGACCTTCCTCATCCTCCAACACCGACACAACCGAAGAGAATCGCAGCAGTCAAGATGACTCAGTAATGGATGAGAAAGCTTGGTTCCGTCCAACAAGTCTCGAGGATTTGGACAAGACTCACCATTCATAGCAACACAACTTACTCTTTACTTTAATTATGTTTTGAGAGTGTTTTCGGAATCTCGTAATAAAATTTGAAATCAAACTAATGTTGTTGCAATAATGAACAAAACTTTGTTATGATGTTATACAAATGTGACTATACGCTTGTTTTGCATTTATGGACAAGTTGGCTCTCTTCAGATAGAGAATGATGTAAATCACCACCACAGTGAGTAGAAACCATATTCGTAGGACGCGTACCCAATAGGAAGATAGGAAGATACCGAAGAAAGGATCAAATGGCACGATTGCTGATATAATATATGTGACTGAGTATTATCTTAACGAAAGAGTATACAAAATCCGATGTCGTCCAGCGGTTAGGATATCTGGCTTTCACCCAGGAGACCCGGGTTCGATTCCCGGCATCGGAGTTTTTTTTATAAAATATAAAAAAACGAAGAAGATGTCGCTGTTATATGGGCTTTAACATTTTCATGGCTCGTAACTTAAATATTAAGTACCGTAATTTCAGTCTACATTTTGAGAATATAACTTGCATTTTATGGCAGATACAATACAAATTATACAAGTGACGAGGCTGGAGGTTAAAGAAAAGGATCACTAAATAGAGAAAATATTTAATTCCGGGAAAAATTTAAATTTCAAAACCTGCGCTCCAACGCTCACTTGACTTCAAATCTTAGGCATCACTGAATTACTCTGATTTGATTGAGATCGTAGGTTATATACTCATCGTTTACCTCCACGTCTGTGTTGTTAGATCACTGTTCTGTGAAGTCAAGTTTGAATTGTTGAACACACAGAGATTATGTTGTTTTACTCAGTATTCATATGCAGGATCAGTTTCACCACTAATGCTTTGTTTCTGTTATTCTTTTTTTAAAACAATTTACAGGTTGAAAGGTCTTGAAGAATACATGAATCAGTCCTACTCCAATGTTCTACAGTCTAAAAACTCGAAGGAAGACCGCAGTAAAAGCTGAACCTCAGCCATCATCATCATCATCACAGTTGGTGAACCGTTCTTGTCGTTTGACGAGCAAGAAGTCTCTTGATGGAGAAATGGACCACGAAAATGTTGCTCAAGAAGCTAAGACTAACAATGTCAAGTTTGAAAAAACTCCTGCAACACGGAGCACACGGAAAGCTCTAGGAAGTTCTTGTAGCAGCAAATTTCAGGAGAGTAAGAAGAATGAATTGATTCGGTCGGTGTACAGCACACGGAGATCAACCAGGCTATTAGAGAAATGTATGGCTGACCTGAGTTTGAAGACTACAGAAAACTTGGATAAACCTGAGAAGAATTAAAAGTATCTGAAAAGGAAAAGAGCCTAGCTGAATAGATACAATGCTTGGACTCTCTTGCAGTGCTTGTGATCAGGTGAATTGGTTGGTCTATAATGCGTTTTGTATGCAGGTTCAGAAGAGAGAGAATTGAGAATACTGAGGTCGTCCCGGGTAGAGATTTAAGTGCTTCCATGGAGAAAGAATGGGGGATGCTGAAGCATGACAGCGAGCAGGTAACTGGAGATCTTGGTGATATTGTTGTTTCAGATGCAAACACTGAGACCAAAAAGGAGGAGAATGAAGTTATGAGTGATGAAAAAAGGTAGTCATATACCAACAATGTTGTCTGCTGATTCATGTTTTGCATTTCTAAACTATGTGGCTTTCTTTGGTAGAATTCGGGAAAGTTTAGTCCAAGAAAACAAAGACGAAGAAACATTGCAAGCTGATGAAGCTGTTTCTGAGGAAGCTTCGAAGAAGCATCATGACAATGACCAAGAGATTCAAGATGAGATTTATGTTGATCTTGGTGTTATTCCTGTCTCGGAACATGCCAACACTGAGACAAGTAATGACAATGAAGGTATGCAACAAATTAGGAGCATTAGTAAATTTTCTTGTTTATATGTTTAAAACTAAATGCCTTTCTATCGCAGAATCCAAGACAGTTTTGCAAAAGTCGAGCATCAAGAGATAGAAGAGGCAGTCCAGGAAAACATTTCTGAGCCTAAGAAAATCAATACTTTCGATGAAGAAGCAGTGGTGGACCCAACTGATGGTGTTTGTGGTGTTGACTCAGATGGCACTATCTCTGAAGCTGATTCAAACCAAGAGACAGAACACGGCAATTCATGAGAATGTTTTTGAGACTGAGAAAACCAACACATTTTAGGAAGACACAATGGTGGACAATACTGATGGTGTTTCAGAAGCTGAGAAAGATAATTATGGTGTTGACTCAGACGGAACTATTTCTGAAGCCGATTCAAACAAAGCTGATAACCAAGAAACATAACAGGTAAATAAGGAGAGTGGTTATGAGACTGAGAAAATCAACATTTTTTATGAAGACACGATAGTGGACCAAACTGATGGTGATTCAGAAACTGAGCCGGAAGAAGATCATTCTGGTGGTCACTCGGATGTCACTAGGAAAGATCTAATGTTTGGTCATAGATGGATTTGTTCATCTTTCTTATATATACTTAGATTCCTTCCAAACTATTCATGTGGAAGACTAATCTATAGTATTCGTCCATAAAAAACAGAAGGTCGATGAGGAGGAGGAAGATAGATAAGGTGATACACATATGTATGGCCTGGGTCCTATGCTGGAATGGGATGTGGACAGTTACAACGGTCGTGAGTCTGAATCAGATCACCAAGGTAATTAGTGAATTGGGCGCTAAATCACTATCTGGTGAAAGATATACATTTTATTGGATTGACTTGAACTTGGATTGTACTTTCCATTCGTAGGAAAGACGGTTGAATTGGTTGATATAGTGAAAGTTTTTTGTACGTGGGGGAGCTACACGGAAATCTTACATAACGTTTATGGGTCTTGTAGAGTACCAGGAAAAAGTGGCAACAAGTCTAGGGAACTTGAAAACCTCCCATTCCCATCACTCCAGACCAAGTCATATACCCTCTATCTAGACCCTCACCTCCTATATTGATCATTGTGTGATGTACAATGTAACTTCTATACAAATAATAAGATATCTGAGCTAAAAAAGCTTCAGATTAATGTGTAAGCAGTTTTGCTATTTATAATGAGTGTCTAACTCACATTCAAAATCTAACTCAAGAATTTTTTGTTTTTGTTTTTTGTGCACTAACTCAAGAATAGATAATTATCATATTACTTGTATATATTGCCAATGACCAATATTTCAAGCGATGTGAGACTTTATAATATTTTCTGTACTTGATACTTGTTTGAAACAAGTTGTTGTTTCATTTTGTTCTATGGGGCACTTGGTTTATGGCTCGGGAGCATGAGAATAGGCCAATCAAGACAAAGTGATGAGGTCTATTAGAAACTATAAACCGCCTTTTCCCATACTCTGCTGACCAAGCCCCATACCCACTGAGTAATTTGTAGTTCTTCGCCTAGCTAGAGAAGATCAAGACGTGTTGCCGAAGTTAGGTTCTCCAGTTTGTTTGTATGTTATCTGCTTCTGGAAGCTATAATAATTATGGGATTAGTCTAGAATAGCCTATTTAGACATAATGGTAGTTTATGGCGATTATGTTTCTGGTTATTTTGACTAAATAATTTGGTATATTTGTTTGTTTTTTTTTTATTAACCTGAGGGTATCATAGGTCCGTGGAGAGGTCCAGACTAATCCCCAAGAGGAGGTGCAGTCCACGGATAGACTCTCTCTCTTGGTATTCATAAAAAATGAGACTAGACCGTGTTGTGTGTGGCACGACAACCTGTAAATGAAAGCTGCATTTTGCCATTTGTTAAGAAAACGTTAAAGAAAAACCACTGTGGCGATTGTTTTATGCAGTCTCTATTAACGGTGAATTATGTTAAGGACATGATACATCGTGAGATTCATAGAAAACTTATAAGAACGAATTATTAACTTCGTGCCAAAGAAAAAAAGAATTACATTAACTTCCAGTTTTTGAGATTTGAGGAATGTTAGTGGGCCTTTACATGGGTCGTAGCCCAATTCCTCTTGAATTTCAGTACAGGTAAATGGCATGACAGTTTGTACTTGTCACTTTGTTGCATTAAACCAGATATAATTCCCAAATTGTGTTAGGAGGTTCTAGGGTTTCTTCGCTACTTCCCGATCGATCATGACAGGAGATCAGTCTTCGCCCATGAGAAACCAGGACGTTGATGAGGAGGAAGAAGAGAGATATAGTAGAGATCCGTATCCACTGGATCCTATGCCCGAGTGGGACGTGGACAGCTACGAAGGTCGTGAGTATGAATCAGATCCAGATCATAGTGAGATGTTCTCTGACGACGAATGTTATCAGCAATACCGTCTCAACAAGCGCGAGGCTTTCCATAATAAGGTAATGGTTTTATTTTTTCTTCTTCTTCTTATTTATTGCCATCGATTTTTACAGCAATTCGGGTTAAAGGGTTGTTTACTTGTTGTGGAATTTAGGGTTTTATCTATGAACCTATGAGCGGATGCTACCCATTAGATGATCTGGAGGAAATAGGGTATGACAACACGACTACTCGGGAGAAAAAGACAAAACTGGCTAACTTGTGTATTAAGAAACTCAACGAGACAAAGGTAATTAGTGAACTAGGCATTAAACTGATGAACGATAAATATTTCATTGGATTGATAGAGATTTTTACTTTCCGTTGATAGGGGAAAACAGTTGAATTGGTTAATATAGTGAGAGTTTTTGTACGTTGGGTAGCTGCATGGAAAACTTCCATAACGTTTATGGCTCGGGAGTCTCCTAATGGACCTCTTGTAGAGTACCAGGCCAAGGTGGTGACATTTCCAGGGGACTGTAAAGCTCCCATTCCCATCCTCTGCAGACCAAATCCTATAAACCCCCTCCTATATTGATCAGTGTTTGCAAATTGGTATACTTGTATTAATTGTGATGTACAATGGGTCAACTCCTATACTAGCCTCAGTCACCGTTTCTTGATTTTTATGAACTTATAATGCATTGTTTGGTGGGTAAGCTATGTGACGTTTGGTAGAATCATTTTGGCTATACTGAAGTTTTATACATGCTCTACTTTTCTGATTTGTGTAGAGTCTCAATTAAAAAGGAAATGACAAGGTCTAAACTTTGAGAACAGACTACAACATAGGGCATATCTTTTCCACTTTTATTATAATAATAAGATATAAATATGATCATCACACAGACAATGTTTTAGTAATTAAGGTTATATATCCATGAAAAGAAAACCATAATTAAAATATGTAAAAAGAACAACTATAATAGGTCCAATATACGTAACGATCCATCTCAAAACTATTTCACTAATTCACCAACGTAAAAGATTGGGCATGTCTTTTCGATGATGATCCTTCCATATCCATTGATACCCCAGTCCGTACCCCATGTGTTTTGCACAATGAAAAACAGCCTGTTATCCTTCGTTCTCCCATAACCAATGATGATCAAAGCGTGCCTTTTCTTCCCTTCTCGCGGTTCATGCAGGATGTAGATCTCCTATTTTATGTATATCCACATAAACAAATTAGTTTTGTAATTATTGTCATTATACATATAACATAAATTAACTACTTCATTTACATTTTTAAGTCCACGAAAGTTGTCATCCACATCAACACTAATCCCGATCAGACCGTGAGGGACCAGTAGTCCTAGGATGTCTTCAGAAGTCGCGTTGGGTTTGGTAAGAAATATCGCCTTGATTTTATTCCTCTGCAAATCAATATAGTCACATGAGTAAGTCAAAACTTGTAACTTACTTAGCGACTTATTTAGCAGACACATATTTTCTTAGACAGACATATCCTTTTTTTTTTGAACGAAGATAGACATATACATATAGTGGATTTACATAGAAATTTAATTTACATTAGTTTAATATACCTCTGTTCCATAGTCTCTTTCAATTCCTACTTTGAGAATGTAGTCAATGGCCCTTTTTAAAGAAGAAACAGCCAAACTTTTATTCTTTAGTTTCTTCTGGGCCCCGGGTTCCTTTCCCACATTCTCCCCCAATATCACGTATTTGACAAGAGATTTTTTTGACAAAGATATTTGCTGAGCAACTACACTTATATCTTTGTTGCAAAAGAATTGCAAAATTCTAACTAAAGCCCAAGCCCAACAATCATCTACAATTACAACACATAATAACATCATTATTAGTTCTGGTAGTTTGAGTCTCAAACATCTCTTTTAGTCTAAGTAAATATAAATACCGTCCGTTTGTGTAACAATCATCTTTAATAGGCGCTTATGTGTAGTAGTCCAAATGAAGATGATAACACTACCATCTCCATAGTCCTGTAAAACAAAAAAAAAACATTAGCACAATTTCAAATGCTTTTGTTAGACTTTATATGTAAAAATAAACCACAAAATAAATGGAAAAACTTAATCAGAGCTAAACATTACTTCTGGAACTGGAAATTCTTCCGCTGGTTCAACATCATGTTGATTTTTCTTTGCTTCTTCACGTCTTATATTTGCATCCAGTTTATGCACATTTTTGCCTTTGTTGTTTACCATTTCTTATGCAAGAACCAAAAATTAATTAATTAATTAATTACCGCCAAAAAACAAAAATTAATCAACTTGTAAGAAAAGTAAAACTAATAAATCAACCTTTTCTTAATGATATAAACATCCAATGATAAACATATAGTACATTTTGATTATAACAAATTAATACAAATATTTATAACTAAATTAAAATTACACTACAAGAAAACACGGCGATTCTGACGGAAAAATTCGTCGGAATGTCGTCGGAATATAGGTATTCCGAGGATATACCGACGGAACAGGTCGTCGGAAAATTTTCGTCGGAAATTCCAGTTTCCTCGGAATTTCCTCGGAAAATTCCGAGGAAATACCGAGAACCACAATTCCGAGGACATTCCGAGAAAAGATTTCGTCAGACGCTTCCTCGGAATTCCCTCGGATTTTACCGATGAAAACTTCCGAGGGATAGATGTTATCGGAAAATTCCGACGACAGGATTCGTCGGAATTTTCCGAGGACATCACGTCGTCGGAAGTTTCCGACAAACGATTTCCTCAGAATATTCCGAGGACTCATTCTCCTCGGAAAATTCCGAGGAAGACCAGTTCCTCGGAATTTTCCAAAATTTATATTTTTTTTTTTAATTATAAATTATTGTTTTTTAATTAAAATTCGAAAATATAAAATAAAATTGTAAACTGAAAATATATTAGATAATAGAGTAGAACTGAAAATAAAATTGTAAACTG